CCCCTCACTGCATCTCTGGGTCTGGATGATCGCCCCCCCTCCCCGCCACCCCCGTTGTCTGAAGGTCTTGATCCGCCACTGTTGGCAGTTGCTCTAGGATCGTCACATAGTCGGAAATATCGTCTTACAAGAAATTTGTTACATGACTACCTAAATCAGTTATAAGTAGGGATATCAATGAGAGTTTACTGACCAGTAGCTTTTGCCAGCTTGCCCGCAGAGAATTGATCGGCTACAACTAGCTTATTCTCAATTTCACAGCTGAAAAATTAAACGTTCATGAAAATTGAGCATAATGTATCATGACAGGTAGTAGTATAAGAGTGTAGAGACGTATATGTCCATACAGGGGTAGGGTGTTAAATTCCATCGCAAAAAAATTTGATTTTTCAAAGTCATGCCCTCTCAGAGATTTTGGCGGAAACATTTGCATTGGTAGATGTCATGTGACCTCGAGGTAACCAATGAAACCGCGCGCTGTTGGTAACAAATTTGCAGCTATGTAACAATTTTTTGTCAGTTCTCACCTGGCAAACGGGAGGTTGAAGCGTTTTCTCAATGCGAGATCATAGGCTAACAAACCTAATGGTCTGTTGATACAAACTCTCTTCAACCTCCCCTCAAACCTGTGAAAATCAAGATGGTAGTCAGTGAATGTCATCGACACAATATCAAAAAAAACCTGATATAATGAGTTAACATTTCTCGTGATTCATTTATTTACATTCTTTTGCAGAGTATTGGTATTTCTAGACTTAAACTAAAGAATCCATCAGTTTTACCATCACCATTTTCTCCAGAAATGATGATTATGAATGCGAGGAACACACTTTCTTATAACATGAGGAAAACAACTTCGTTGATTTTCCTACATGTTACAGGAAAGGATGTCTATGATTTATAGGATGAATGGGAAAAGAAGGAGGAGGAATTGGAAAAACAAGAGAACTGAACAAAAGGGACGAAAAGTTGCGTTTTTCACTCAGCTATTTTTAGACACTCTGTTACAAGGCATTCTGCTTCATTCTGCTTACGATTGGGCTCGATATCACTAGCCGCTGAACGGGAAACGAGCCCGCGCTCCTCCCCATCTCTTCTCGGGGATGACCGAGAGAGCAGCGGAAGTCGAGCCTAGCGTAAAATGGAATAACAAGCGCAAACCAAACACTGTTTTTGCACGCAGAAAACTACGAAAGTAACGCCAAATATTTTTAATGTTACCTCATCTGCAGCCTTTGGCAGAGCTTCTCAGTCAGGCTAGCACACATTCTGCTGCAGCCTGCCTCGTTATCAATATCTTCGATTACGATTACAAAGGGGTCACACCCAACCTTTGTTTCAATTTCTTTGGGAATAGTTCTGTATGGTGATAATTAAGAAAAAGTCAGCGTTAAGAGACCTCCTTAGAAACCTGTTTAGCGTGTTTTATTCAAGACAGCGAGGTGTATCTTTCAATTTTAATTTCGTTCTACAAAACGGCCAATTCTGGAGAATTGTCTTTGAAATTTTGAACTTAGATAGAATATCCCATTGCTTTGATGCGTATTCTAAGCTACGGAACTCCCGTTTTCCTTCTAAAAAACCAGCTGAAAACATTTGAATACTAAGAAGTTCCCAGCTGAGGCTCATTCTGTCATCCCTTCGGTGAACTTTTTGATAAAGACCGTAAATGTATGGTGGGGACGAGGTTGGGTGAATCTCCTCAGTACCCCGGGAGGGGGGGGGGGCGGGTACTGCCACATATAGGCTATATAGGTATGTGCCGCTGTGAAGCGTATGGTTTTCAAGCAGTTTAAGGGACAGGGATACAAATCAGAGAGTTTGGGTCTAGAAGAGCGTATCATTTTCCAGGAAACTGATCGGCTGGTCAAGATTTGAGTGTAGACTAGGGAAACCGGGAATTGCCACTCAAAAATATAAAAACTTCAAATCGGTTTTGTTTTAACACTGGATTGTTGTAGTGACCTCAGTAGTTTTTGAAAAACAGCAACTCTAGGATAGGGGGGATTTGGGGACTTTAATCCAGTATAGGGTAGCAAAATTCACTCGAACTAGCTTTGGTACAGGCTAAGGGTTCCAGGATCCCGGCGGCACATCCCCACCAAAAATTCCTAAAGTAGCCCCCCCCCCCCGCCCCCCTTCCCCAAACTCTGTACCTACCTTAGAAAGTACTCCAAGGCCGTGGAGTTCCCCCAAGAAAGGGAATGAATGGGTCTATTATCATTAGTTCTGATCTCCAACATTGGCCTTGGAGTGAGTGATAATAAGTGGAATCCATATTCATGAAATCCTTTATAGTTCAGACAAGATTTCACAGATGAGAACAACTGTTCTTTAGCATACAACTCCACCCACTCGTAATGATCTTTATTCGTCATAAAAGACAGAATAGAAAAGTCCTCATAATGGATGTTTGAGGCTGGGGCTATTTTCTGTGGTGCACTCTGCTCGAAAGGAGAACTGCATTCTAACGTGGATTGAATCACAGTCTCCTCGTGCAGGTCAACATACCACGTAGTTGTTCTCTTGTTCACCTGGCAAAAATCAAATTAAAGTGGCATAAAGTAAAGTCTTTTTTGAAAAAATATTTGAAGCGAGATTTATTCAAATTTGCCTTATTTGATCTAGCATTTAAATTTAAGCTATTTTTGTCTAGTCCATTTTTCTCAAACCGGGTAATCAAAACATGTTTTATTCTCCCTTTCCCCCGCCGCTCGCCTCGGTTAGTAACAATTTGGGGGTGAAAAAATTATTTGTAACTACTAACGTTGGCTGTGAATAATAATTGTCTTTTTTTATTTAAACTGTTCCAAAATGTTATTCAAAAAATTGAAAAGCGTTGATTCGTTATGCGCTCTTTCGGTTTCTGCGCGCGGCAGTCAAATCATGCTAATATCAGTAGTTTGAATTGTTCTAACAATCGCTACACTATTAAAAACACATTATATTGGAGGTTTCAAGGGCCAGAATTGAAACCATCTTTTGTTTTGATTTGTTTGTTTTTGTACTCAGTTGCCTTTTCTTCTGTGTCAATCAAGAAGCGCTCGTTGTTCAGCAAAGGTTCAATCTTTCTAGGCACGCCGCGAGACATGGAGAAAACGCGCTGTTATTGGTCGTTTTCAATTCAAATTCGTTTTCTTTTATGGTCGAACTGGACTCACGTGGGGCCTGCAAACAATGTCCCATGATTGGTCACAATTATTCAAATTTGTTTCCTTTTATGGTCACGTTCACAGCGGCCACGTGACCTACAAATATCTCCCTACGATTGGTCAGAATTATTTCAAATTTGTGCCCTTTTATGGCAAGGCTGACGACGTATGTTTTCAACGGCTTCACTACGCACTCTCGAAAACCACAGCGAAAGATGCATAAAATTGGCATTTTTTTCATTTATTACAAAAAGTTCATCAACCGCTAAGTTGCGCTTACCCTCTGCCTCTTAAATACTTGTGAAAATCTCATTTTGCTCTGATTACAACCCATTTCAGGGGCAATTTCTTTTCAATTCAAGTGACGTAAGTCAAGTATACACAGTGAAAGCCAGTGCAAACTGAAGCTCGCTCGTGCGTGGCGTGTGCTTATATACTATACCATGACGTCACAAGGTGACGTACTGGATCCTTCTGTAAGTTGATTGGTTAAACTGAAAGCGAGGCGAAGTTTGAAATTTCAATTGCGTTTGCGCCTGCGTTTCCGTTGAAACGAGGTCGTTGGCATGAATGAAAAAGAATGCGTCAAACAGCACAAGAATCTGCGAGAGCTGAATTTTTTCGGAAGCAAAAGGTCTAGATAGCAACAGATAGACATTCTCAGAGAGAACAAAACTTCTCTTTAATGTAACCAGACACGTTTCAACAGCATATCCATCACAATCAGTTTAAAACCATGGGCATTTGAAAATCATCGTTTGATTCTCTCGCGCGCGAGTGAAATAAATTCCTTGCACTTGGTTTGTATAGAAACTCAAGAGTTTCTGATTAAAGTAAGGGTTTTTTTTCATGCCGTAAAATGACGAAAGCGGCGGCACGGTATATTGAAAATTCGCCTTGTAGCTATCTTTCTTGTTAGTCTTCAACAGATAACTTTAAGTTTTGGATAGATACAAATTAGGTTAACATATATGTAATCACAAAGCCTTGCCAAGGGGAATGATAATTGATTAAATTCCTTATCTTTGAGAGAACCCACACAAACTAACGCAAATGAACAGGAACGAAAGAAATGAATTGGTTTAGCAAAACACAAATGGACGCGGCTTTAATTGGCTTTGTTCTAAAAGAACCCCGGGTCGGTTGCACCTTAAGCAAAAAAATTCAATTAAAAAGAAAACGTAGCCTGTTGTGAGAAATTCCAGAGCTATTAAAAAACTTCTGTTCTTTGGTAGTGCATCATCCTCGGAGACCCAGGGGCAGATAGTGGGGACGAGGGAAAGTCTAAACGGAAGGAAGAATGTGGCACGAAGAAAAGTATAGAACGGCGAGAAGAGCCCCTGGGGACAATGTCTTACTACACCAGTTCCAAACGGTCGCCGTCGTTGTGGCTTCTGATTGGTGCCAGAAAAACACAAGTTTTCTGGCACCAATCAGTAGCCAGAACGACGGCGACCCTTTGGAACTAGTCTGGTAAGACATTGTCCCTAGGGGCTGTTCTCGCCGTTCTTTACTTTTCTTTGTTCCATGTATATTTTTCCGCCCGTTTAGACTTTTCCTCGCCCCTTTATCTGCCCCTGGGTCTCCGAGGATGGTAGTACGTTGGTCTACTCGTCCACTGAAAGCATAGGGTGTCTCTGAATAAAGTAACAGGCTCCCAAATCTATCTGTTACCTTTTACTCAAAGACTGACCCCTTGATCCTTTCTAGGTTTTATACTATGCTTTCAGTGGACGAGTAGACCGACGCACTACCAACTCACGCATGCTCTGATTGGCGATTAAATTAATTGGAACAGCTGCTAAGTGGTACCGATTTCAAGAAGTATGGCAAGTTTTTCCTTTGTAGGTTCAGATGATAGGTTTGGAAGATATAAAACGATGTGTATTTTGCAGCATTTTGTCATTTGCAGTTTGTAGTAAAAGGTTGCTCCCAATACGCCTGGCAGGTGGCTTAACCTATCTTCCTCAAATGCAATATTGGCTAATCCACCTTCCAGGCGAGGCGTTGATAGAGGAACTATGAGTAGACGAGGTTTTGTTTTTGAAATAAAAGTGCTGTAAAACAACAATGATGTGAAATAGTGTGATTTCAATTAACATGGACGTAAATTAAGATGCATTTAAATTAATAAAGTGCATTTTTAATTTCCTATAATAAGGTACAGTAAAAACTCACCTACTACTGAGAACCTAGAATGTTCGAGGTCAGGCTGAACAGGTTGTTATATTTTAGGGTAGTTTTTCACAATTCAGGACGATTAGGTTCTTAAAAGGTTCTTATTTTTCGGAGGTTGTTATGGTGTAACTATTGGCAGAAATATTGTACTACTAATACATAATGGCAAACATTCAAGGTCCAAGAAGAACATCAATACATTTCTATATTTTTTAAATAAGATATTAAGATTTTAAGTCATCTATACTGCGCGGTAGCTTTATGGAAAACATACTTCAAGTGAAAATCCAAACCGCAAATGTAAATCAAAGAAAACATATACACAAACACCTTTTGTCAAAAGTTTCTCACACGATTAAAATCGAGAGTTTTGACCATCAAAATTGGAGGGATTGTTTTGTATAAGAACCTATTTTTCTTTGCTAGGCTGAAGAGGTTCTTTTAATTTTGGGTATTAATTTAAATGCCAATTTACTGTCGTTTCGTTCTTCTACCAAAATTGATCGCTCGCGGTGTTTTTTATCCTCAACGTACTGCAAATTGAATTGGGAAAGATTAAAACTCCTCTTTGCGGTGTTTTCTAAAACCTCAACCTAGCGTACATGTTAAGGTTGAAGAGGCAATTCGTCCTTACTCGCTGTGACAATTTGTCATCCGTCTTTTGAAGTTGTCATAGGCGCATCACTCACAGGCTACAGAAGGAACTAATATGGGAGTGTGGTAAAAGACTGCTAAGCGTGTGTTTTCACATTAAAGACATTAAACACCAGCTTATCAACTACAAGACGTTCGTGTTCAGCTGTACTTCAAAGATCTTTTACTAGTTCTTTCGTCAGTGGTTACTCAGATTCAGTTTGGTTACGTTATCGGCTCTATGAGGGTTAATTGGAGACTTCACGTATTAAAATGCCATACGGACGCACGTCGGCTGTTCCTCCAGGGGACAACCAATAATCCGCTCCTACTGAGGTTTGTGAGGCAGGGATAATTTGAAGGTGCCCATTCTTCTGATTAGGATTGACCCGATTCTGTAATGCAATCTTGTAGTTTTTTCCCTCAAAAGTGAACTCCTGTGCGTATAGCCTCTCGACCATTTCTAGACTGGGGCTGGTGTAGATCCCCCTACCATACAGCTGTCTCGGCCCAGCTTTGTAACCCTCTTTTAAAATCATCTTTGCACTCTTCATATTTGTGCCGTGATAGGACACAGGCCACTCTCCCGGGGCTTCTTCTGTTCGTATCCCGTTTGGGCCGAGCCAGGCATCATCATCATATTTGCCAACAACTTTGACGGCAATTCTCTTCCAACCATAAGGTCGCTGGTACTGAAAGCCACCTCTCATATACCTTTTACCATCATCTTTGGCATTACTGAAGTCGTAATCGAATCCTGGATCAAGTTCGTCCGTATTGAACGAGCAGACTCCTCCCGGGCCGCCACCGGTCAAACGAGGTAGCATGTGGACGGTTGAATAACGTTGAATTCCATACTCATTTAGAGTTCGATGACTTTCAAGCTGTAGATTAGCGTGTATTAGCCTCATCTTATTTCCGGGTACTCCTTCTCTTTCCTCGATTTTAGCCACGAGTTGTTTAACTGTTTCCTCTCCTGTTACTTGGTAATTAAGTTTTCTGCCTGTTAAACCGATTACATCCACTTCGAATGACGTCTCGACTCCCTTTATAGCTAGAACTTTTGGCATTTCAAGCATCAATCTCTTTTCATCTTCAACTTGTTGCGCTACTAACTCCACCGGTTTCATGATGCTGTATGTGTCGCCGAAAAGATCGTTTATGGAATATTGTCCTCCACTCTTCTGTGGTACTACATCTGTGCCAAGAATAGCTGAAAACCCAGCGCTCAAAAGCTCTAAGTTAGACATTTCGCCAAAGCAGAAAGTTCGAAGCAATCAGACTATGCAGATTTGTTCAAAATCTAAAATTATCATGGAAAAATGTCTCAATTTATTCTTGGTTTGCAACCACGTGACAAGGCGGCCATGTTGAATGACAATACATTAGAATTTTTTCTTAAAGAATTTACATGAAAATAGAGTTAAGTTCCCATAGGAGAGAAATGCTTTTGTTCTTGTCATCCAACATGGCCGCCGTGACGTCACGTGCACTCTAGCAATTTATTGTACGGCGGAACACTTCCTGCTTTTCTTGGAAACCAGACAAAGAATTCTCGTCCCAGAGCCTTCGTTATCATAACAACTCCAAAGGATAGCTGCCTCAGGGAACGAGATTGGAAACAAAGAGTCCATGATCACGATGTAAACTATGAGGGGTGATACCGCCAAATTGAGATGTTGTATTATGCTATTCTATTATGATCTTTTAGACTGCACAATTGGTGTTATGTCCTCTCTATTTGGCATTGTAAATTCCATTCGTCCACTCTGTATTTTGTTATGTATTTACACATTCTCTTATGTACTTCCACTTAACAATATTAGATATTGTATTCTGCTATTCTAACATGACGTTTTAGACTTCTGTTGTGATGTTTTGTCCTTTCTGTTTGGCAGTGTAAAGTTCTGTATCCTATTGTGCAATTCTACATTCTATTATGCACTTATATATGTTATCATCTAAGATTGGGTTACTTTCAGAATTTTTGTATTCTGTTTTGCGTTCCCGTATTATGATCTGTTTCATCTTGTGAAGTTGTATTATGCTTACGTCATATCCTGCATGGCACTCAGTGGACAAAAATTAGACGGCCGAGCAAGGGGAATGTGTATCGTTCTCAACGACGCTACTATTTTCTGCCATCCGCTGTTTAAAAGGCGGACAATGTCGACAGTCATGTTGTAGTCAGAAACCATCTTCGGAACGTATTCCTCAATATTTCGAGGCAGTGAGAGTCAGGAAATGGTGACTTGGACACCCTGGATCACGTTCAATACCGACTAGATTGTCTGTATAGAGTTATACTCGGCTGTTTTGATGCTGGAATTGTTGACGAAAGAGTACATTTTAGCTTCCATTTTAGCCTGGTTACAGACCCTCTATTGTCCCTTCAAAGTCCGTTGAGGGCACGTGATAAAAAAACAAAACAACGTCTACCGTACGACAGACATAGAAATTCATGTGTCCATGTTTGCCGAGGCTTGTAGATTGTTCAAAGTCCCCTATTTTTTCGTGAGATCG